AGAGACTGGACAAAAATCGTGCACCTATGGATGAGGACAGTGTGTAGGGAGTGAGGGCAGAGGGTGGGGTGGGAACTGGGAGGAGAGGAGTTATGGGGGGAAAAAAAGAGGAACAAATGTAATAATCTGAACAATAAAGATTTAATTTTAAAAAAAACCTTTTTGTGGTTGTAAGATTTAGTTTATGAATCATTCAAATCGAAGTGAAAGATGACCAGGTCATTGTTAATGACTCAGTCTTTTAAGAATATATGTATTTTTGTAAAGGAAAAGGACTTGTTGATATTTAATATATTGTTATTGATTTCAGAGAGGAAGGGAGAGGGAGAGAGAGGTAGAAACATCAATGATGAGAGAGTATCATTGATCGGCTGCCTCCTGCACGCCCCCTCCTGGGGATCGAGCCCGCAACCCGGGCATATGCCCTTGACGGGAATCTAACCTAGGATCCTTCAGTTCACAGGCTGACGCTCTATTCACTGAGCCAAATCAGCCAGGGCAGCATTTGTAGATATTTAATCAGTACAAGATATACGTCTGTTTTGCAGAAATAAAATGGTGCTTAGAGATTCTCTTTAAATATTTTTGTGCTGAAATGCATTTTCTGTTGACCTACAGAATGTTGTGTACAAAACTGTATGGTCGAACTGTTGGGCTAGATACTTATGTTTTTTAAAATCTGGACTTAGCCAAGTATACTTGACCATGTTAAAAATAGTATCTTTGTTATTAAAATGTGGATTGCAAAAAAGAAAAAGAAAAAAAAGAGGGTCTAGGACAGTTGGGGCTGCTGTGCACCAGTGCCTTATGGGGCCCTAGGAAGTGCTCTGCTGGCTAGGTCCTCCCCCAGCTACCCCCAGGGGAGAACCCACACCCACATCCTGCCTGCCTCCCGCCCGCTCTGAGCCAAGCACTAAGGTCTCCTGTGAAGTGTCCTGCACATGCCAGCCCTCCCTTCTCCACTGCAGGCTACTCAGAGCCCTTATCAGGTGGACGGGGGTCACTGGGCAGTACTTTCCCATGGGAGCGTAATCAGGGTCACTTAGGTCATTTAACCTTTTCTAGCACCCAGTGTTCAAACTTTCAGAGAAATTGATCAATTTAATGTTTATAATGTACTTTGTAATATATCTAAGATATTGTTTACCATATCTGTAATAATAAAAGGGTAATATGTTAATTAGACTGAACGTCCTTCTGGACATCATTCCTGATGTCCTTCCGGATGAAGCCGGGGCTGGGCAAAGCCACCCGGGTCCTGGGTGCCTGCCAGCGGCTGGAGGAGGGAAGCCCAGGTCCTGGTACCGGAGGGAAGCTGGTGCCGGCAGCCGGGGGAAGTAAGGCCTACTCTTGCACAAATTTGTATGCATCTGTCCTCTAGTAGTTAATATAAAAGTTCTTCATGAGACAGTTTACATTCCTCTTTCATACTACGTCATGGAGATAAGGTGTATATTCCGTATTTGTGGCACACATCAATGCAGGCGAGCCACATTTCAAGAGCACAGTAGACACCTGTGTTAGTAGCTCCCTGTGGGCAGCATGGCTCTGGGCCCTCCCCAGCAGACAGCACCCAGGGAACAAGCCTGGACCCCAGGCCTGGAAGCAGGCCCTCAGGATGTTGGAGTTCATGGATGCGTGTGGTAAGGGATGCGTAAATAAAACATTAGGGAGGGGAGGAGTTTACAAAGGGATGAATCGCTCCACTGGTGAGGTGCGGTGGTTGAGCATCGACCCCTGTACCAAGAGGTCACTGGTTAGATTCCATTCAGGGCACATGCCCAGGTTGCAGGTTTGATCTCCAGTGGGAGGTGTGCAGGAGGCAGCTTTCTGATGCTTCTCTCTCATCAATGTTTCTATCTCTCCTTTTCCCTTCCTCTCTCCAAAAATCAATAAAAATAGCCCTCGCTGGTTTGGCTCAGTGGATTGAGCATCAGCCTGCGGACTGCAGGGTCTTGGGTTTGATTCAGGTCAAGGGTACATGCCCAGGTTGTGGGCTGGATCCCCAGTGGGGGGCGTGGAGGAGGCAGCCAATCAATGATTCTCTCTCATCATTGATGTTTTATCTCTCTCTCCCTTCCTTTCCTCT